CTCCCCCCTCCACCACTCACATAAACTCCTCCCCCCTCCACCACTCACATAAACTCCTCCCCTCCTCTGACATAAACTCCTCCCCTCCTCTGACATAAACTCCTCCCCTCCTCTGACATAAACTCCTCCCCTCCCCCACTCACATAAACTCCTCCCCTCCACCTCTCGCATAAACTCCTCCCCTCCACCACTCACATAAACTCCTCCCCTCCACCTCTCACATAAACTCCTCCCCTCCACCTCTCACATAAACTCCTCCCCCTCCACCAGGTCCAGTCACGGCTCTGGGGCCTCTGCCGATGGCACCGACAGCCGCAAGTCGACCATCAACCTGCAGAAGACGCTGACAGGAGGCATCATCGTCATGGAGCTCAGCTTCCACCAGGAGTTCTTCTGTGTCAAGATGTTTGCAGTGGACTGCTCACAGCTCCGGGTCATCGTCAACAAACAGGTAACTCTTGCCTCTGACCCTCGTGTTGTCAGTTGGTGAATGCTGCTGCAGAGACAGGTTTTTTTTTTTTTTGTTCTCGGGTTGTTTTTTTGTTTCATGTTGTTTTTGGGTTGTTTTTTTTATTTTAAAAACGTCTGTTTTTGATAAAAGTAGTACATATTTCAAGCAATGGTGGCATACTTAATTCAGCAAACAAGATTGCTCATCAGGTTTGTCTATTTCATCTTGAAGTCAGTACATGGGTGCTGGAACAGAAACAGCTTTTTTGGTTTAAAAACAGTAGACTAGACTCGCAGTTCTTTTTTCTTTTGCTTTATATATAGAAGTGGTGTGTATTTTGAGAAATGGCATGAATATTTCTGGAAACAAAATTGATTATCAAGTTTACCTACTGCATCTTCAAATATCAGCGTTCTAAGAGGTCTAGATGCTTTATATATAGACAATATAGAGACCTCTTGGTGATATACTGGACTAAGATGTGGATGACCCTGGTTTGAATTCTGGTGGTTGTTTGGGAAGCTTCAAGTCCTTCCAGCCACTTGGTTTGGTTCTCTCAGAGGTGGACATCAGGTCAGAGTATAGTGTGATCATTTTTATTTTTATCTGTACCTATTTGACAAAAGGGTTTTTATCATGAGACATACTGTCCTTTTATTGTATTATTAACTTTATAAGCCCTGAGTTTTTTCTACCGTTTCCCAGAGTTTTTTTCTAGTGACCTAAACCTAGTGCACTGTGTCTCATTATAACCCCAAAAGCTAACCTCCAACTTCTAAATAACTGAAACAAAGGCTTATAGTCATTACTAAAAAACTTGGTGTGGGAATAGTTTAAAAAACCCAGCAAAAACTAGCACTCAATAAAAGGAAACAGTTGTCACTAGCACTGGACGCTCCCAGCGCGCGATGGGGAACACGGTTATTACCGCCCAACGCTCCCAGTGTCCGATGGGGTTCAAAGAGTTAAAGCTTTCCAACTCACTCATTTGAGTCACTCAGCCTTATTCATCTCATCTCATCTTTTTTTTTTTTTAATTTTTTTTTT